CCTATTTATATGCTGCCCATCTCACTGACTCTGGGCAGCTTATAACATCATAAAAGCACAAAAGAATAGAATAGAATAGAATAGAATAGAATAGAATAGAATAGAATAGAATAGAATAGAATAGAATAGAAAATAGGGAGTGGAAAATAGAATAAAATAGAAAATAGAAAATAGAAAATAGAAAATAGAAAATAGAAAACAGAAAATAGAAAACAGAAAATAGAAAATAGAAAATAGAATAGAACAGGAATAGAATATTCCATTCCATATTTTCTATTCTATTCTATTCTATTCTATTCTATTCTATTCTATTCTATTCTATTCTATTCTATTCTATTCTATTCTATATTTCTATTCTATATTTCTATTCTATTCTATTCTATTCTATTCTATTCTATTCTATTCTATTCTATTATATTCTATTCTACTCTACTCTACTCTACTCTACTCTATTCCTGTTCTGTTCTGTTCAGTCTGTATTCTATAGAGTTTCCATTCTCCTCTCCTCAAGGGCCACCAGGCGTTTTCAATAGAGCGTAAACTCCACCTGCTGGCAATTCTCAGCAAAAGCGGAGAAATGAGCTCCATCCATCGGTCCCTTCGAACACAGGGGGTCCTCAACTTACCACTTTCCGCAAACACACCGAACTTTCTTTGAGGGAGACTCGCTCTACGAAGAGAACAAACTTTAGGACAGGTTGTAAGAGAATTACCCGGCTCTCTCCAGGCTCCATGAAGTAGGCGGTGATGCTTTGCAGGCCCGGCGCCCGGCCGCACAGCCACTCCACCCCGGTGAGGATAATCTGCAGCAGACTTTGCTGGGTGCGGATGTGATGGTAGGCTTTGCTGAAGTAGTGCGCGATGCCCTGAGGAAGAACGAGCTTGTTGTCTGCCCACCAGAAAGCAGGCTGGCTGGGGGATTCTGGGAGTGGAAGTCCACCCCTCTTAAAGCAGGCTGGCTGGGGGATTCTGGGAGTGGAAGTCCACCCCTCTTAAAGCATGGCTGGCTGGGGGATTCTGGGAGTGGAAGC